CATGAGTCCCGCGTGTCGTGAGGGTGTGCATTAACTTGCCACGGAAAACGAAGTGCGTCGGGTTTCCTTATCTCACAATTGTTACTCAACATTTTGACCGAAATACCCACTGATAAATCTCGCCCGCCTCCCATGTAAGATATACTTTCAAGTGGCAAAACGGTAAACACGATCCTCTTGGTTTCGGACTCAGATGGCGCGCAAGCGATGCTGAATAAACTTATGCGTTGTGCTGCACCTTCAATGGGATTGGCTCACAACACAAGTTCTCATAAGTATAGAATCGCTGAAATTGGCACATCGGTCTAATTATCCGAATATGTGTATCACATCAGGTGAACGCATTACGGGAGAGATCAGTTTACGCATCGTCAAATCTGGTGCGACCTTCGAATGACCTGGTCGCCTATGCAGACAATGAAGTATTTGGCTACTGGATAGGAGTTTACGGCTGATCAGTTTAACGTACGGGTAAGGAATGTGGCTACTGTGCTGACATCGAGAGACTGTCGTGTTTGAACTGTACAAAACGTTCGCTTGTCCCATTCTTGATTAATGGAACTTCATCTAGGGGAGCCTACAGATGAAAGACAGGAAAGCCACGGGTTCGTTTAGTGGCGTATTGACCTTAAAATTTCCCGAACTTTACCAACAGCTTCGCCTCGAGCCCACATAGCCACAGCGTGACACAAAACTTGACGTTCCTACACAATTCGCTACATCAGAACACGTACTCATACCTACCTAGAGATAAAGCGAAACGCCATTCAAAGATTCCGTAACAAAACGGAATCCTACTTGTACCAAGGGGTAGAAAAACCATGCGGTCTAAATCATTCCTCATCCGAAACGCCGTCTTGTGGAACAACATGCTAACCACAATCAAGACCTGTGAGAACCCTAAATCATTTACACTAAAGTTGACAGTTGTCTGATCTGGAAATGATGTTCTCATCCGAAAAATCCTCTGAAGGAATATTGCGGAATAAACGAAAAGCATAAAAGCGATTTCCATTTTTATTCATACAACAGCATGATCATTTCTCTATATATACTGATCCGTTCCCATTTTAGGATCAGCCTCTTGCATTTTTGAGAAATATAATTATATGATCATTATTATATCGACGATAGCGAATATCGCTCAGATCTGGTAAAATCATCAGCTCAGCAATATGGAAGCTCGTCAGCTGGCACTCAGCATCAAATCGTCTGGGTAGCACAAAGTACCTGGTGAAAACGAATTGCTCTAGTTGACTAGATGATGCTCCTCGCAAACCCGCAATCTGGTTACTTAAGTTTGGAACGTTCAGCAACACTGTGCTTAGCTGCATGGAACCACTAGGTGTCAAGTTAAGGATTTACCAGAACACCCGGAAGAGATTCACCGAAAGACCGATTAATCAGTGAGCTTACCGTCTTCAGATCGGCTAACTTAGTGGCTAGAAGTCCTATGGGAGAAATGGTACAATCACAAGATCAGCGATGCTCTGGTATTCGTTGCCATATTTCTGTTAAAGTAGATCAACCCTCCGAAAAGGGAAGAAAAACAAGAGGAATACGCAGCAAGCTGGAGTCCGTTGGAGACAAGACGTGAGTCCGAATTGCATGATTGATCAACGGCGCTGACCTCCGCATTTTCGCTTTGATTTGACCCTTGGGCATTGGCTGCGTTTGACCTTTTGGCCTCAGTATGTTCTGAGCTTTGAGGCAGATATTTGTTCTGACCTCTGGTCGCGAGGTTCGTCAAGTCAAGCTCAAGAAAACGCACCATTCTAGCTCTGCTTGACTACGTGAATCAAGGCGAATGGATTAACCGCACGTTGGTGCAGACTAGACCTGATCAACAGAACAAAAGTGATATCATTTATAAATCTCGAAATACGCCTGCAACCGACGGAGATAGGGTCATTTCACAAGGGATTATGAGTATTGGAATAATGTATTTGCTACGCAACGTTTCGCTTATGAACAGAAAACGCCCTCATGCCGAGTGAGTGACCTTAAAATTGGGAGACATTTCAAACTGGGCACGGGCAAACTTCGGAGCATAAAAGGTCTCTGTCCGGTGACGTGTAGTACAAGTTCTCTGAGAGTATATACACAAATCGACCGATGACAATTGCGTTGATAATTATGCTATTTGTGGTTGGGTTGGTGTTGATAGTCTATCTCAAGTCCGGATCCATTCATCGAAGCCCATCAAACTGGTCGGAGCAGGGCTGGGCAACAGAAGAAATAAAGTAAAGTGTGAGCTGTACGCCGCGCTACCACCACTGTTCGCGCGCAATCTGAGTATAGCATAAGCACGCCCGCCCTTACGCTGGGCATCAGGTATTCGATAATCCTGCGCCATCTATTCCAACCACGTAATTGTTGGTCTTAATGATACTGAACTTTTACCATAATTAATGGCTAAGAACTGCTCCTTGCATTCGTGCACTACACACATCCGCTTCCGAAACGAATCATAAGCCCCTAAATTGCAACTGAGATCTCGGGGTGTGTCTCCATTGGATACTAACGTGTACATCTTCAGTCAGAGTTGAGCCCCGGATGCGAGGTAGGACTTGTCAACATTTGTTTCAGTTACACGCCCAGACCCACGTGGATGAGAAAGGTAAAGGAGAGCGATAGGGCCAGAGCAACGACCACAGTACTTTGTGCCAGGCCGGCTGGTGACATGCAGGACCGGAGACGGGTGTTTCGGGTCACGTCAGAGGAGCGCCGAGGTGAATTGACGTTCGTTCCAAATTGAGCTGTCTTCCTGGAAGATTACCATATCACCCTAACAGTCTCCGAATTTCCGTCAAGAAATTGCCCTAAGAAACGATATGAGCCCCGGTATAATGTAACCTAGACAGCTGGTTTCAAAGAAATAAAATAAAATGTGTGTTCCTCGATGAACCGAGAACCGGTTCCTGGTCTGATCCTTTCAGGGACAGACCGTGATTTTAATTCGCTGCTCCATTCTATTGTCTTTAGTAAGACAACGCTGTGCTATACCCGATGCGTCATATTCGGGCACCTTAATGAATAGGGAGCTAACGTCGAAACTAACCGTTATTTCGTCTGTCAAGATGGCCAGACCTGCTACCTTTCGCTCGAAATCATAAGGGTTCCGTACGAACGCAGTTGTTCTCCCTGTTGCAGGTTGCAACAAACCTGCCAAATAGGGTACATCGTGCTTTGGAGAACTGAGACAATCTACAATGGGCCGAACGGGGACTTCGGGCTTATGCATTTTCGGCAGCCCATAGATACTAGGTGGAATCGTAGATTCCGGTTGTACGCTATACCATTTACCCGGCCCTAGGTTGTCGTTCATACTTCTATGGTAGTTTCCTACCTCAGTTTTACTCTTATTCATTATGGACGATACGGATATTTTCACAACTGCTTCGTAGGGCCCTGCTGCTAAATGCTGTTCCACTTTTTCCACATAATTCGATTTATTCCTTATCACTACTGTCTTGCCTTTATCGGCTTTCGTGATGATGACGGTAGGATCTTCTCTTAGGGCCTTTAATGCGGTACGCTCCGGTGTTGTAAGATTTGGCTCCCCAGACTTCTGAAATCCGATGATGTCTACCACTTGCGCACGAATATTCTCAGCTGTTGATAGGGGTAATTTCGTCATCACGGTCTCAACGCTAGTACTAACTTCTATTGCAGTTAGTTTAGACTTATTTACAGAAACGTCCAAACCCACTTTCAATAACATCATCTTTGCTTTACAGAGACCAGACTGTGTACAGAAGAAGACCGCTCGTAAGCAGACGGTGAGAAAATTAATAGACAGTGGATATCCTAGGCGGTTAGTGAAACACCAGTTGCAGAGAGCTCTAAATCCACCTCCGCGACGCACAACCGAGTGCATTGAGACCGTGGGAATCCCCTATAAAAAGGGAGCCTCAGGAGTAATCAGGCGAGTACTAAATAGGGAGAAGATAAGAGTGGTTTTTCAAAAGAGTCAAACGCTCTGTTCAACACTTGTGCGTTTGAAGGATCCGCTTCCAAGAGATAGAACGACAAATTGTGTTTATAAAATCAATTGCAAAGACTGTGTACACGTGTATATAGGTCAAACAGCGTGAGAGCTACGCACGAGGCTAGTAGAACACAAGAGGCATGTTGCACCTCAACCGAGAAATGAGCCTGAATAGAGGGACATACTAAAAGATTCAGCGGTGGCCGTACACGCGCTAGACGCAAGACACGAGATTTATGGGACAAAGTCGAGATATTTAAGAGGGGATTGCCAGCAACGAGCCAACGGTTGATTGCTGAAGCGATCGAGATTACTAAGACTAATAACTGTGTGAAGAGAACGCGTGGCGGGTTGTGTTAACCCGGTCAGTCAGAAAAGGTGTCGGCGAACGAACTCAGGTCAGAGTGTGAATCAGCAGCTGCAAGAAAGGAATGCCTCACATGTGAACGATCAGTGACGTGGATCAGTGAGAAACGCTCGATGCTTGTTGTTTCACTAGAATGGCCATTTGACCTGGAACATTATCATCCAATGGTCCATGTTATTTCTTGCAATCTTCACCTTACTTTCCTGTAAAAAGCTAAACCAATTGTGTACCAATTCACCTCGCCTGAAGAAGCTCTTGTGTCAAGAGCGAAACGTTGGCATAATAAAAACCTACGAAAACCAATTTGTATTTTTAAATCCTTCTAAAATCACTTTCTTTTTCCTCGCATGCAGTATATGTTTTATCGCGTTTTTCTATAATTGCTGCTTATTTTACCCTAGATACACCAGTAGAAACAACTCGATTTCCCGTAGTTGTTCAACAGAACCAAGAAGTGGCCACACCTAGCCCATTTACGATGATACGCAAAGACAGCACATTCTGGCTGATGAGGGTGGGCATCTTCGGAGAATGTATTAAAAACGTAGTCGGTCTGCATCAAATCAAAATAGCACGGGGCGAATGAGACGGATGAGTCAAATAACATCATCTGCGTATTGTCGATAAATAAAACCGGGAATATCAACTTGTGGCGGGAAGCGCATCGACGGCAGGCGATGCGTAGGGAATCACTGAGACAATCGCGTTGTCGTCCGGTATTGGGGGTTGTTGGGTGAGTTCCGTTGGCGAAGCAGCAGCGCAACCGTTCAACAGAGACATCCGCGCCAATCGCAGAACGTCACGCCAACCTGCGGTAAATCCAACACTGTCCTCCTTTGGCGGCGCGATCGGTTCGCGTATGTGAACCACTGTGATCGACTCAGTAGGAGATTTTAAGTGTAGTGAAAAGGGGCGACGATCCGTTGGTACCTCATCGGAGGACTTCGTAGACCTAAAAACGAACGCGAAAAGGGAAGAGTGAAGCGAACATTGATCAGACCACTCAGTTAGACTGTGACCAGTACTTTCTAGGAATATGCCGCTTATTGTCTATTATGGCTCTATCAGCGACAACAGTCGAATGCGCAAAATCAGAGCACGGATAATCAAAAGTCCTCGATAGATATGAATCACCCACTCGCGGCCGCGATACATAGCCTGGTGAAGAAACGTCTTAGTCAAAGTAACCAATTTGGAGAACAACCGGACATACTCATCCGTACAGTGGGCCAGAAGAATTCCAGATAATAGGTAAGCAATAAGAGTACACTTTTCGTTTTCTTTCTTTCGTCGTCTGGCTACCGTCGTTACTGATTTCGAGATTCCCAGCTAAATGCAAACGAGATGAATAATAAACTCATTAATCGTTGTGCCAAGCGTTGCCCGTCGTGACCCGGTGGCTAAAGGGACAGAAGTCCTAAGTAACATCTATATGGTCCCAAGTGTGAGACATGCTATGATATCAACTAGGGTCAAAACGCGTTATGGAGTGCAGTGGTTTCGGCCGGGGAATACCAAATTTCCATACAATACAGCCACAGTCATAGTGATCGAATTGGCCAAAGTGCTCTTCATTGCGAATTACGGTCCACATAGAGATTGCGCGTCGCAATCAAATCACACGTGTACTTCAAAGTGACCCTTCCAATCAATAACGTTTACTTGCAAATCGTATGACGGTTCCACCCCCTGACCAGTGGCTTAATGGCGCAGGTAATTAGTGTCAAGGATTCATGGGTTTGTCTCCTACTATGTTCAAAATGAAAGCGAACTTTTGTAGTAGCGAACTAACCGACAACAGTAATGCACACTGCGGCTACTGCACGAAGTATCTTTAGACAACAAACTGTTTTTTTGCCGCGTTTCGCTCTAATTGTTAGCTGGCGAGCTACAGCCACTGTAGTGAGCCCTTGTACAAGCTGCTCGTCGGATTAGCGTCATCGTAACAATAAAAGATCTTGAAGGACATTATGTGTGCCTGGATTTTTGCTAAAAAGATGTTAAAACATTCACAGAGACAACTCAGTTGATCAGCCAATCATACGAGGAGGACTATAGGAGTAGTTTAAGTAATTTAAGCGTTTTGAACCGCGGTAGAATGTCGGTCGGTGAGGATCTCAAGCTTGGACGATATTCCACATCAACACACGAGGATCATAACGAGGGTTCCTGTGTGACTCGTAGAAACAGTCGTCTAACTGTTCGGAAAGTTGCTGACGAAGTGGATATCAGCTAGGAACATGTTATCCACTTTGGGTGACAAACTTGATATGCATCGTGTCAGCGCGGACTTAGTTTTTGCATCATGACGATGCACCGACTTACGAATGGTTCATTATCCGCAGCTATCTAGCAAAACACCAAATTTCCACTCTGCTCCATTCATCGTATCATCAGGACCTAGCTCCAGCACTTATTCGTTTCCTTTCCCTAAAATCACGCTGAAAGGAGGTCGTTTACAAAACAGCAGAGATTAAAGACAACGACAGAAAAGACTTGTCCGCCATTCCAGAAAATTCGTTCCAAAACTTTCAAAAATGGAAGCACGACTGAGAAATGTAGACTGCCAGTAGAGGGGACTATTTTGCGGGGGATAGTGTTTGAAATGTTGTACAATGAGAAAGAAAAAGTTCGCTTTCTTCTTGAACAAGGTGGTAATCCAACAGTGACCAGTTAATCAGTTTAAGAGTACAAAGGAAGAATATAAAACAAAGGTGCACCAAAGGACTGGTGGGGGGCAACTCAGAAATAATTCCTCCGGGCGACCAAGCCCTAAAGTGCAAATACCGCAAGCCGCAGAATAAGTGAAGCGTATTCCAAAGTGGTGAGACTCAATGCAGTTGAAACGAAGAAGGCATACTTAGGAGTACTCACCCTTTACCCTCCTTCTTCGCGTTTTGTTCATTGAACTTCTTGGACCCGTAACCTGAAAACAAAATTGCATCGTCGGTTAGGTTTGTTAACGGTCATATGAAGAGAGGTGCGATACATGGAATTGTACTGTCACAACATAAAGAGAGGAAAAGCAGAAGCGATAAAATGAGCCAAAACAGGATAGGCGTCTACGTATAGACCGAGCTCTGATAAGCAGCCAACAACAGCATGCATGTGGCCTATTTTTTGAGCACCAACCGGTATCGCGTGACAGTATCAATAGGAGTCAGGTATTCAGTGCACTCGGTGCGGTTTCATTAAATGATAGGCTTCTGTCAGAGGCAATCTAACGGAATGTACCCAACGGGTGATCAAACACACAGCTTGATGCTGTGTTTGGTCTAGAAATGATTGTAGACCATTAGCAGGTAATGCATAGGGAACAATAAAGCATACTTTGGAAGAGGACCCGATGGATATACAAGCGTTGGTTCAGAGTGCAGCAGGCTTTGGCATGCGCTTCATGCCTCCAACTAGCAAGGTAGTATTGCACAGCTGGGTGAATACAACACCAGTTTCCAAAGGTACCGAGCAAGTGTGCTTTACTTGGCTGGGTGGCGGTATCGACTCTGGCAGTCGCAACAACGGTAACCTACAGCACACATCACTAAATTCCATGTCGCTACCCACAGTTCTATTTCATCATCATCAATACATATTAGATGAGGGTGGGATGCACCCCGAAAATTGTCGCAATACGATAGTACAGATACAGACTGGAAAAAAACGAAAAAGTAACATAATGCTGAATATCATGGGGCATGAGACCGTTGCTGGAGGGGGAAGCTAAAGCGGACGGTAGGGATAAAGGGACTCATAGCACGAACGCCAGTGAGGTCGGCTCTTCGGCATACCAGCAAGTGTATCCAACCAAAAGTGTTCGTCGTCCTTCGGATCTCAGCTCGGCAGACGGCAGACACCAACCGAGGCCAAGTTCGAAGTAAGAGTCCTTATTCTGTGGCCAAGTCACCGCTTGGTCTCATCTCTTACTTTTCATCCAGACCCCGGCCGCGCAAACAACGCACAACGCGGGAGTCGGTGAGCTGGTATGCGCAACACGTGGCTGCCATCGGAGCATTGTGCGGGATGTGCCGGTGTTGTGTGGTCCACTCGCTCCCCAGCATCAAATACACGACGCCGAACACCCTGATTGCTCACGCGGTGTGCCCACCGGACATGAGCTAAGTTGCGAAGGCAGCGGTGGTCGACTTGATGGACCAGGTTTCGCCCCCGTACAGAAGAGCTGAACGGACGGCTGCATTGTAAACTGCCCTTCAGGGCGAGTGTGATGTCGCGAATACGTCATAGATGGCGGAGATCGGCAAAAGCGTTTCGAGCTTTGCTATACGATAGGTGATGTTATCTTTGATCCCAAGAGCACTCATATACTTGAATAACTGGGAGACTTCCAGCTGATTATCACTAAGGGTCAGCGCAAAGGCGGGTCACTGGCAATGTTGGAGGACTTTGCACTTCGATGGAGCAAAGCATAACTCGGAACAATTGACAGCCAGCGCTAATCTGTCCAGTGTTGCATGTCACGTTTGGGGACTGTCACAGATTACGGCAATGTCGTCAGCATATCCCAAGACAAAAAGTCGCTCGCCAGGAAGCAGCTCCACACATTTTAGGTCGTGTCCAGCGAATGCTGTTTCCATGACTTCGTCAATGGCGAAGATAAAGAGGAAAGGTGACAGCGAGCAACCTTGTATCACAGCGCTGGAGATATTGAAGGGTGGCGACAATTTGCCACAAACCCTCATTCTGACCGAACAATGCGTGTACATCGCTCTTATGACATTAACATATTTCTCGGGCACATCTTTCCTGAGTAGACAGTCCCAAAGGGCACATCGATCCGCCGAATCGAAGCCACAGTTGACGTCGAGGAACACGACTACGAAGAGTCGCCAATAAATATGGCAGCGCTCCAACTATTGAGGTAACGTGATGTGACTAATAGAGCAGCGACTTTGACGAAACCCGGCTTACTCCACACGATTCTGGTTTTCACGGGTGCCAGAAAGTTTATGATGAACGATAAGGGCAAGTAATTTGGAGGCTGTTGTGATCAGACTGATTTCGCTAAGACTGCTGCATTACGATGGTGAGTCCCTTGAAAACTGGGACTATGACGCAGCGGTTCCAGTTTACTGGGACAGTCTCCTGTCCCACAGATTCACCACTATTATGCAAATCATCCGTAAGAGCAGCTCCCACGAATTTTTAGAGGGCCAGATGAAGTCCATCTGCTCCTGCGGCTTTGTACAATTTCAACCGTCTAATATCACTTTCGACTTTCGCGCGCGATGGCGGATGTAAGACAGGATGATCGGTGGTCGATCAAGAAAGTGATAACTCTGACAGATTAAAACTGCTTCTCAAAGTGCTCGGCCCAACGCTGTAAGCGCTTTGACAATGTGTGGATCGACTGTCCACTGTCGTCGCGTATGGTCAAGCTAACATCAGTTCTCCTGCTGCCCGTTTCCCGTATCAGACGGAATAACTTCCGATGGTTGCCAAGGGCAGCAGCTGTCGTCATCTCCGCGGCACAATGAGAACTGAGAGAACTGAGAACTGGTGGGAAGCAGCGAGTAGAGGTTGCTCTGTGTAGCTGCATCGTTCGTCGTTTTCGGACATGAACTTTTTATTTATCGTTTCGCTCTTTGTACTTTGCCTCTGCAAATTGTTTGTCTAGTAGCATCTTGAATTTAGCCACTGTGTTCGCTTCTACTATATGCTGAGGCAGGTCGTTCCAGACATTCACCACTCTTCGTTCGAAACAGAGTTGATGGGCGACCCGCTTCAAATCCGGGACGATAAGTTTATACCGGTGTCCTCGCGTGCAGCTTTGTGTGCGCAGATGAAGTAGTTGAGACCACCAAGCTTCGCGGTATCTCTTCAGGCCAGCACACAGTTAAGCACTGAGATCTTTACAAGTTTCATTGTGTTCGCTTTCAGCCGGAACACGTCGGCGAGCATCGATAAGTTCCAGAGACTTCGTAGTCATTCAATGTCCCGGTTGGCAATGTGATTTGCCATATGAAGACATGCCTGCTGCTAATAACGTCTGGAGGATTGCGACCGACGATTTTCACCTGTGTTCTGTGAGCGCTAACTCAGCTCGGATGCCAGTGCACTTGGATACGCATTCACGACATCTGACTTTGACAGTTAGCAATTACCTGCGTGCTTACAGCGTCCTTGACGAAGTTCGTAGAAACGCACCAGCAAGTGCCTGGTTAGAGTTCACGCTCGTGCTCCAAATCGAACGACAGTTTTGGACGCACCCTCTCCAATGGTAACTGGTCGTGCTGTGACCGATTTGCGTCCATGACAGGTGCTGTGTCAAAGTTAATGTTCGCGAAAAAGAGACCAGCATCTTCACATAGGTGCAGCAACCGCTCACAGTTATCATTACGTGTTTTCATCAGTGTTGGTCGCCCAAATGTAGATCATCAGTGGACAACTTAAAATTTTTGTAGAAAGTAGAGGCCACGATTAAAATGCACAATAATCTGTCTCGGCGGGGAATGGAACTCCGGACATACGAATTACTAGTCCGCTGCTCTACCAACTGAGCTACCGAGGACTGAAGGTCAGGTGCGCAATTTAATACAGGACTTCTGCTTGGTTCGCGACGTATTGCCAATCAGCTCACAGTATCTGTCCTGGTGTTGCAGATTGGCTCACTCGCTCGTCACTTCCCAATGAACCGAAGTATCTGTCCTTCAGGTGTTCAAAGGGCGATGGTAAATTTAGAGTATTGGTGGTTTTGTATGTCATGTTTGTAGAAAGTAGAAGCCACGATTAAAAGGCACAGTAATCTGCCTCGACGGGGAGTCAAACTCGGACATACGGATTACCGGTCCGCTGCTCGGTCAACTGAGCTGCCGAGGACTGACGATCAGGTGCGCAATTTAATACATGACTTCTGCTTGGGCTTTTAAATCACCAACCAGTACCATAGTATCCGTACTTATTCTATAACGAAGGAGCGCGTTCAATTTATTCCCGCGCAACTTCAAACCTTTGAAGGAGCCAGGCAATCTGACAGCGCACATCCGGCTGTTCATTGGGATCCAATCGATCAGGGCAGCTTCAGCCCGGGGGCTCAGAACAATGACCACACCACGTTGACCGGCATTTGATACTTCGTTATCAGCAGAGAAACGCAAGGAGAAAATACCGCCAATGTCACATGATGGGGATCGCAGAGTAACCACAGAACTCGAATATTGCAAGCGGGTCTCTGATAAACAGCAAATGTCCACCGGTTGTTCTGTTTATAGTTGTTATTCCTTTTGAAAAACCCCAGTAAACCATACTGCGGAACATGTTAAGCCTGTTTTTTTGTCCACAATAAACCATTGACCATTATATTACCCTTAATCACAAGAGACCAGCTGGTTCTAATGTAATTCTTTTTCAAGGAAATGGTGCAAATGAGCTAGCGGTTTCAGTGGGTAGGTACTTGTAAAATAAGGAGAAAAGCAAAGGAACTGACGGTCTAACACCACATTTAAAATAAGTTCGCAGCGCTGCGATCAAACACCAATCAGATGCCTCATTAATCCTTAATTTGATGAATATGTCATTTAGCCGGGGAGCTGTTCTATTTCGATCAGATTTGATTTGTGATACGTATGGGGGCCAAATGGTTGGAATATGATTATCTTCCGTTCCACATACAGCTGCTATACGTAGGGAACCTCCATCAATGTAAGATTGGATTGAGCACATTGTAGACATTCCGCTGCGTTGGATATCGTTCCCTTCCTTAGGTTGTTGGCAAACGGTAGCTTGCCCTGCGCCTCTAAGTAAGAGAGAGTCTAGTCGAAATGGCCTGAGCTGGCATCAAAATGAGGTAACCGATCTACTCCTTGCAGAAAGCACTTTGGAATAACAAGTCAACATTGTTCACTTTGACCATCCGTGTCTCACCAATCCACTCACGCCTGAAACGGACATCTAGTTCGCTCGTTCAAGCCCTCTGTTAGACCGTTTTGACTCCATTACCAACGAACTCGATCAAGTGAGGCGGTGTAACCCCGTGTTCCGGACTGGACTAACTTCACCTTATCTTCAAATCCCAGGCTTTGGAAGCAGTTCGTGAAGAAGCACCAGCTTTCGCCCCCCTTGTTGCCCAATGCTGGCGCGCGCAGACACCTTGCGCACCTACAGAAGCATAGACACAACCGCCTACTATTTGAGCTTGACCACACAGCGCGATTGTTTTGTACCCCAGGTGAGTCAAGCTTAAGCAGTCATGCTGGCATATTGTCCGAATGCTATTGGTTGATGCCGGTTGACCACACAATGCGTCCTGGATGCAATTTCGGTGGGTTTTGTGTTTTGCGTTAAGGATGAAAGGTGCTGTCTTATGGGTGAAAGCGGTTGCGCTGTTGATGCAATCAATTGTGAAATTGTACAGATGTTGATGGTTGGTTTGTGCACTATGCACCATTTCATCAAGTGCCTGCTCGTTTTGCCAATACTACTTATTAGTACTGCATCGTAGTCGGTTGATTAGAAAGTAAAACGGAGTACAATGAAACGGAGAAAAAGTGAGTTCTGATTTTCGTTTGTTCTCCGTGCTGAGGCATTGTGCTGCAGACGTCTCGTCATCAGCCGAGGTGACATCCCCAGTGCCTCACTGCTTACGAAAACCAGAACAGTCAACCCGAGCTACAGGCATTCCGATTTATCGCAAACGTGAGTTCGATTAGTGAGGGTCGTCTGATTTTCTATGGGGGCTTCGGGATCAGTCGCTTAAATAGTGTGGAACTCTGTTGGAGAGAGTGCGATCAGGAAAGCAACTGCACCCACGAATTCACGCTATCCCCGATTGCTGATTCGTGACTCCGTCATGTGACAATTTTCATGTGCTCTTTCATCCATCCATCTATTCACTGTAAAGTGGTAGCAACCAGTCGTTCCTTTCACTTCCTCGGTATTTTGAATCGACAACCGGGGGTCTAGATAACTGGACCCACCACAAACCGGTGTGCGGATCGCAGTCTAACTGAATTGCTGTTCCTTCCATTGCTGCTTCCGCTGAGCGTGAAAAGCGATGCGGGTTACCTGGCATGCGTGAATTTGATCCATAGTGCTGATCATATCAAGGAATCAGTCAGACTGTGAGGACCGATCACCAAGTCCCGCAGTAATGTGCTGTATCCCGAAGATTCGATACGCACACCGATACAAGCAGCGGTCTTCGTCACATCAGCCAGTAGTGCCCAAGTCATTTAGACACGTCCGTTAGTAAAATGTCTGTGGCAGATAAAGCAAGGTGAAGCTGACGACAATAAGTCATCCTACTTACACCACCATCAGTGAGACTCAGAGTTTGATATGTGGAACTAACGTAGAAGGACTTTGAGGCATACATTTCGTCTAGAATGGCGTGAAGATCCCAACCGATAAAATGGGGTTTATATAGTCTGCAAGTAAGTAAGGAATCAGGGGTGGAATTTTACCCTCGAGAATGATAAAGTTAGTACGACAAGTCATTAGCACGGGTCATCAAGACGAGTAAAGTAGTTCGATTAGCCAGGGACGAGTGAAAGCCACCGGATTATATCCTATGAGAAAGCAATGGGATCGATACATTGTTGAATTCATCAGAAGTTAAAGGCACATTCGAAGGGAATGGAGCACAAACGATAATCAGTAGCCTGATGACGCTCTTCCGAGATAGCTGGAACAAGTAACAAAAATTGGAAGCTGTACACAGTCAAACATCGTAGAAGAGCGTTGTAGACAAAGGTGTTAATGTGCTTCAACGCCGCGCTCGAGGGATTGGTATAAAGCGACTACGCAAGGTGAATCTCAGTGAAATGAAAAGCGAAGGTGGATGGAGTCGGCCGTTCTTCGTGGCATCCGTGAATGTTGGTTCGTCCAACGCTCCAGACTAAATCCCACACTGTGGTAGCTGTCGAGCGAACAGAATTGACCCCAAGTCGACTTCTTGCTTGCTCGCGTTGATAGCCCCCAATTGAAGACATCAAATGGACGATGGATCTGGAATGGCGAGAATAGAACTCAGATGGATGCTGCGAGAGGAACAACCGGATGAGCTGCGCCAATTTCTGTGTGATTCTAATTGACGTGAGGTATAAAATGAGCCTGTTCTTTAAACAATAGGATGTTGATCGAGACCCAGACTTAGTTTTTGATTCACGGACGACCATCGCGAAATGGTGGCAAAAACGCAGACGTGCCAAGCCCCGCTCGCCTTCGATGAACACGTGTTGATCCCATTACGACGTCCTCTATAGATGACAGAAAGCACATTCCCCGATAGCTGGAGGGCGTGGAAAGCGAAATGGATGGAATTCACGGCGCTGATCCAGTTGAATGAATATCCGAGGCCATAGCAGGTGGCTGTGTTGCGGAACGCTATCGGTCATAGAGAGTGGTGTATAATGGAAGCGCGAAATCTCTGTGACCATGACCAAGAAGTGGACCCTTCGCAAATAATCAAGAGAATCGGGAATTACTGTGACAGTCGATTAAAAGTTCTCATTAGCTGTAGCCGGTCGGCGGATACCTATTCAGTGGACAAGAAAGGTCAGCAAGCGACGCAGGATCCCACAATAAATTACCCAGAGGGCGTTAGAGAACAAAGCGGGCCCGTAGCCTTAAGGATCACAAGCCTGCATTGTAATCTCAAGGTGCGGGGCCGGGCCTGCGTAGGGACCGGCCGACCCTCCAAGTATCCTTAGCCCATGTGCAACTGGTGGTGGTTGTGCGGCAGCGAAGCGTCGGTACTGCGTACCGGCGTACTGCTGATGCCCTTAGAGAACAAGTGTGTCTTTCCAACACCGTTGACACAATATTGACCAGTGTCATCACAGCCTGATCTAAGGGTCACTGGCCGCATGCTACCCTCGAAAAACTGCATCGGAGTAGAATGCAGTACAACACACAGTCGTTTCAAAAGGTCGAACGGGAAAACTCAATAAAATAGACACGATTTAAAAAGTCAATGAGACGCATGAAGACCCTCGACTCATGGTACTGGAAAGAAGAAACGAGCGTTCTATCATGGTCAGGACAAGTTCGATTCAGTGTTTTCTTGCAGTCGCAGACGAAGGAAGTCATTGCTCGCAGCTACGGTTCTAATGCAACCCGAAGTAACTGCGACTACCATTCCGTTATACCAGGAGCTCACCCGCAGTGGACGAGAATATGGAAACTGCAACATAAGAACTGCGAAAAAAAAGAAAAAAGGAGGATGTGATGGTAGCTAGCGAGCGAGCAGCAGACTCCAAGCCGACCTATTGCATTCTCGCGTCAGTAGTCCCCACACGAAGAACTCAAATGGATAATTATCTGGGATGGCGGGAATGAAACTCAAGTGGATGTCGCGAGAGCATCAACCGGATGAGCTGCGCCAATTTCTGCGTGATTCTAGTTGATGTGGGGCATAAAATGGGCTTCTGTTCTTTAAACAATAAGATGTTGATCGAGGCCAAGATTTAGTTTTCGATTCACCAGGGACCTTTACGACACACACGACCCACCCGCTACTTGACTAGAGATTTTACAGAACATGAAAGAGGGCAGGCAGTACTGTTTGCGCTTATTTTCTAATAGAACTTCCTGTTTAAAGTGTGCTCCATGCTGAGGCTTTTGTAAGGTAAGTTTGCTTATGAGGTGGGTAAACGGCAACCGCATAGAATCTGCCCCGCTGATGCCTCCTCCTCAGCTTCCAAAGTCAGCCAGCTAGTTGTGACTGTGAGAGGAAGTTCACAAGTAGTAGGCGGTTTGGTCCTGAGTTGTCGCCTAGACTAGGTTTCACTTCCTTCGTCACCATGTAGGACCTTTAACTTATTCCGCTATTTTTAGCTCTTCTTATGCACTATGGAAATACCAAACATAAACATCTGGCCCTTCACTCACATCGTTCAAACTATTGTCACCCAAGCAATCAATATGCACCTTTGTTTGAACTCTGGCTAAGAACATCCAGCCAGGGTCATTGCAGTGTTCCTTCGCAGCCTTCCTCATTTCTTCCGTTATGGAATTGTGGGAGCGATAAAATAGATAATTGGGAATACCAATATTTGCTTCTTCGCGACATCCTATAAGAACGACGGGACTCGGTTATGAATCCGGTACCCAATCTGCCTCTCATAACCGTAGCAGAATAGTGAAATTGTGTGTTTGTATGATAGTAGCGTGAAAACCAGATAGTGAATACGTGATGTACCCACGTAGGTAACTGTTTCGCTCACTGAATCGTTTCTGAACTCCGTGCCGAGGCGAAGAAACTCTCAATGGATCAGGAAGCAGTGCCGTTCCATGGCATCCGTTCTCTTCATTTGATGCAACAATACCAACAACGGATGGGTTAAATGACGTGGTGAGACGCAACGGAGAGGAGGGTGCGAAATGCGGTTTCGAAATCGCGGTGGGTGCGAGCGGTAGACGACAGCGAATGTGAGAAAACGCCATCAGTACTGGTGTGAGCTCATAAATACTCAGAGGAAAGTACTGACCTATTCGCCATCCATTAACCCCATAGAGGAATGTAACGACCAGTGATTAGTCGGGTCGAAAATGAGACAATCAAACCGCAGTTGTAAAAATATTGATGTAATTGAATACACGGGGTCAGTCGAAGACAAACTTTCGCAAATAAACCGCAAGCGTACACAGAGATAATGGGTCTCAGTACCAGATAACAATGACGAGAGTAGATCACATTTGAAGGGCTCGCCCATTTCCGTTATGATTCCCATTCGAATCGACATACGCGTGGAGCTGAATACGGGTAAATAGGAATCACTGAAGTCGAATGTGGTCATCATTTTACACATCAGCTGGAGGTGAAAAACCCCGACTATTGTACCGCAATACAATTAGATTAAGTCACAGCAAAAAAACAACAGGATAAGAGAACATAAAAATTATTTGCTTTTATCTTGTTTTATACATTGGAAACAAGGTCGTGGTTGAAGAGGGATGTAAAGCGGGGCGGGGCGGAAGAAACTCGCAACGCAGAAGCCATAGAAGATGGATCTTCGCTATTAACAAGTGTATCCAACCAAACGTGTTTGTCGTCTTTCGGATCCTAACCAGGAAACCGCGAGGTTCCATTGGAGGCTGTAGCAATTGAAAAAACGACTACCTTCTCAAATGTACTATGGTGTTTCACTTTTCACTAGTTATTGTATAAGTTAATCTAATTAGCTGAATCGATGCACATTTGGAAGCTTGTCATTACTTCACTTCGCTAAGCGCGAGTTCGTAGTGTTCGGTGCGGTTGCTTAGTATCTGGTGACAGAAATTACTGCTACACTCAGATCACGTTAGGCATCGAGGCATACGGTTAGATTCGGATATTTAGAAGTGTTGGAATTAACTCTTTCTTTCGTGACTGACTGAGCTTCTTATTAATCTTTGGTGGATTGTCTTCCTAGTAATAATAATATTAATGTGTCAGCTGTACACCGTAACGACGCTTCGCAGTCGCGCGACCACCCTCAGTCGCGCACGTGCTAAGTATAACGCGAGGACGCTCAAACCTACGCGGACCCGAACCGGGGACTTTATGGTTGCAAACCAGGCGCGCAGACCACTCGGTCACCGGTCGACTTCCTAGTACACAAATGGTGAACCCCATGCAGAATTTATTTTGGTTTCTAGCATATTTCTTGAAAGCTCAGAACTCCCATTCTTATCGTTTGCAGAACCGAAATGTCTCTTGATCCAATGTCTTCTCATGTTCCTGAAAAGTTTATCGACTTTTCAGTTCCGACATTTTGCGTTTCCAACGCGCAAGTCTAGTATTTTGCAGTTGGAAGAACTGTTTCAATGCCACCGTAGTAATTTACCGTACATCATGTTCTTTTTCATACTGAAGTGCACCGCAGTTTCCGACGAAGTAGGGCTTCAGTAACTTTTTTCAAATGTGGAAATTAGCGATCGCGTGTCACCGCAGTATTTCCAATACATGAGCCCTCTCATCGTTGAAATCAGACTGTTCCGTCTCTGACTGTTGCATATTGATCGTGAGTCTCCTGAAAACTGAGACTATGACGGAACGGCTCTAGTATAAAGGGAAGATTTCCTTCACTCACAGCTTCACTAGTAAGTCGTGTAAATCAGCCCGAATTCGTAGAGGGCTGGAGGAAGTATCTGCCCTGCGGCCTTATTCGATTACATTAGATTTCTGTGCTGAAGGCGGACCAAAGGGGACGGCCAAGTAACAGGACGGTCAGGTGAATATCGGCACATACGAGTGCGTGGTCAGAGTCCACGTTTGTGCTCCAAACAGAGCGGTAGTTTTAAATGCAGCCTCTTCAGCGGTAACTGATTGCAATTTCACCACTGTGTCCACAGCAAGTGGACGTCGTGTCACTCTTCTGCGAGTGGCACGTCGGAAGTTAGTGTTCGCAGGAAACAGAGCATTTTCACGTAAGTGTAGTAACTGCTTACAGTTAGCATTACGCGAGTCGACGCCGCGATGGTCACTCAGATTCAGCTTATTAATGGACAGTATCGAACTTGCGCGTTCAAATTATCAGCTTACACTACAGTATCCGCACTTCATGTTGTGTTAGTTGACTTCTCTGAGTGACTTATTTGCTTCGGGACCTTCGTATAAGTAAAACAATGCACATTTCTTTTTCGCAGGTGCAGCTTTGATTTCTCTGGAGACCTGTTTCCTTATGTTTTCAGTTCAATTATTCGCTGAGGAAAACTACGTTAGCGATCATTCCGGCTGGTGCACTTTGGAACTCCCCACTCTTTATCTCCAGCTGGGCAGCCTGATATTTTGTTTTGGGATTTTGAAGCCAGTGCCAAGCGTGCAATCCGAGTGAATATTCATGGTGATTTCCAACCCGTAATATACTTTGCGACGGGAGTGTTGGTTTTCTCTTCCTAACCATGTCTGTCGATGCTGATTTTAAGTAGAATATGCGAGCTCAGATCAAGCTGATAGTGATGCGCATCTCAAATTCGCCACCTTGAAGTCGCCATACTTCCCTAGTAGATCAAATCACAAGGAACATTGATGCTTTCCAGTATGACCCGCAAGCTGATGTGACATTCGAATTATGGTCCAAGCAATATGTGGATATCTTCTCACCTGGACTGGATAACAGAGAAGAGGAGCCAAAGTTCGGCTACTTCTCCGGAAATTGGACCCAGCAGAAGACATCAGTTACTCAAACTTTATCCGCCCTGCAGAACCGCGATCATGCAGCTTCAACGAGACGGTGCAGATCTTGATATTGATTTTGGGAGACACTTCATCTTTGTTTAACACCTGCTTCCGGTGTCTCAAGATAGTCAAGCGGGACGCCGATGACTTGGAGACATACGCTGGCCTCGTCAATGGCGAGTGCGGTTTTCTCAAGCTTGAATCTTTCACAGAGGATCAATTGCAATGCATAATCTTTGTCAGGTCTCCAGTCACCAAGTGATGCAGACCCTAAGAGGCAAGATTACTGGCTGAGACCGATTTGGAACCTGACAACACAGTAGCACAATTAGTCTACGAAAGTGAGCGTTTCCCAACCTAATGCATGATGCTGACATAATTAGCCTGCTGATATTTCTTCACTTCCTGTTCCATGTCTGCAAATGTTCGCGAATATATAATTTCACCAAACGATTAAACGAAGGAAGATCGTCCACCATGATGGCAGCAGCTTCCAACGACGCGCCGCGGGCTCATAACTTCACTTCGTTAGCTACTTGAACAACAACAGGGTTTAAAATCTACAACTTTATATTACCACGTACCATAAAATGCTCCTGAAGCTCTTCAGTATACACCACAATACATCAATAAGCAACATGGCCCACATGTAGCAAGGCGTACCAAACCGCCCTCACCAAATTATCAGCAAAACACTTTGGTTAGAATCCCGGTCCCTTCCGGTAGAGGTCTGCTATCTTGACTTTAGCAAGGCTTTCGACTCAGTAAATCACCGTTTCCTACTTGAAAAATTAGCATGGTTCGGAGTACATCCTAGACTTCTGTCTTGGGTGTCAGAATTCTTATGTGGGAGAACGTTTCGAGTTAGAATCGGTGATGTGAGTTCTAGTGTGGGCTTGGCTTACAGTGGAGTACCCCAAGGATCGGTGCTAGGTCCACTTTTGTTTCTTATGTTTATAAACGACTTGGCTCCTCTTATTGAAGACCCCTGTTACATCTTGCAGATGACTTGAAGCTAGTCAGCAGGGGCAACGTGCAACACTGGCCAAGGATATCATCAGTGTGGCAAACTGGTCGAAGCAATGGGACTTGCCCCTTGAATGCAAGCAAGTGCCAAATTCTGACCACTAGTAGAGACGTACTTGCAGTTCAGACTTCCTTTGGTCCCTTCCCCCTTACAATGCACTACCCAGGCACGCGATTTAGGAGTCATCATGACGAGCAGCTTCAAGCCTTCGATGCAATGTCGATACGCCGCCAACAAAGCGCGACGAGAATTGTTTCGCCTCAGGAGGGCTCTGTGTAATACCAAGCCAGAAGTGTTCCTGCCACTATACAAAGCAGTGGTTAGGCCACACTTAGAGTATTGTGTTCAAGCTTGGTCGCCCTATCTCCGTGATGATGTTCTTTGCCTGGAGAAGATTCAAAGACTAGCAACCAGTATGGATGAAGGTCAACGGGGAAGCCGTATGAAGATCGCCTAAAGAGCCTGGTGTTGTTTTCCCTTGAACGGCGTAGACTGAGAGGCGATCTGATAGAAACATTTAAGATCATGAAGGGCTTCAGTGCCATCGTGCCTTCTGATTATTTGAGCTGGCTGATTCTGAACGCTTGCGTGGAACATCGCTTGAAGCTCAAACAACAGAGAGCTAGACTGAACGTCAGGGCTAAGTTCTTCTCAAATCGTGTAGTGCGCAACTGGAATAAGTTGCCTTCGGGACTAATGGAGTGTGAGACTGTGGTTGCCTTCAAAGCAGGCCTAGACAGGTGCTGGCCGCGTATTTTTCCGGAATTAATATAATCCTATCCAATTTATTCGCATTGTTATCCGATGTTGATCCTTGTAAAAGCAAAGATTGCTCATCTCACTTTGCTTCATTTCCTTTTTGCAGAGGCACGAAGAGGCGATCAAAGAGTCGAAGTGCCGGGGGCTCTGGTTCGCTTACCGGTACAAGAAGCTGGACGCTCGTTAGGCGGAAGCCTGTATCGTCCACGGATTTTGACCTGACCTGACCTGACCTGACCTGTGCCCAATGTCCTACGCAACTTTCGTTCCGTTAGAGTTTCGTGAGACGGTCGATCTCGCATTATATCCGCGGGATCTTAATACGATAAAATCCCCCGTCCCTAGTAGTACTCAAGTGGCATCAGTCCTAGAGATTTGGACGAGAACGGCACAAGGTACACGCTCGCACATAAATAAAGCGTAACGATCTACCTCAAAGTATTATGCGCGTAATAATTGCTATGAACGTCTATGTACATTACATTAAAGACGTTGTTT